AAAAAAATAGCTAATATGTATATATAATAGAATCCGAATGTCTCGTCGGTATCAAGTCGATCAAGTGTAACAAATGCAAATGTAAATTCGAAATATCCTATTGTAAATAATGTTGATCCAACAAAATCAAAATTAAATCCATCATTAATAAATGCAAACAATCGTTCAACAACAAATGATGAACGAACTCAAAATGAACCCGAAGATTTAATAACATCAACACAAAATCCATTAACTGATGAACGAATTCAACAATGTAAATATTTATAGTTTTTTTCTCGTTTCTTATTCATATTCATTTATTTCATCTAATCATTATTTATATTTATATTAAGAAGAACTTCATTGATTAGAAATAATCTTTTTCTTTTTGTTTCTTTTTATTTATCCTTTACAATTCAACTATTGTTTTGATATCAGTCAATAGTAGAGAAATATTTTCGATTTAATTAATATATATATATATTTATAGAATTCTAATTAAATACTAGAGGAGAGAAATCTTGTTTCAGTCTCTAATTAACAAGCCTAATCGATCTGCGAAAACTATTTTTATAATGTCTGTTTCTCTATTAAAAAGATCTAATATCGTTGGTTGTTAATTTTGATAAAATAGTTAATCATAAAAATTATTCTTATTTATGTTTAGTATCGGATATGTTGGATAAAATCTCAAATGCTTTATCACAATCAGATAAATCAAATGATTCGTTCGTATAAAAAAGTCTATATATTAATTAATAAATAAAATAAAAAAACAAATTTAGATTAAGAAATGAAATTGAATCAACAATAAATGAAGATGATATTGATGAAGCTGAAAAAGAATATAATCGTCTTGTTCCAGAATATAATTCTTTAATAGATTATCTTCAAACAGTTTCACATAAATTTACTTTACTTCAACAACAATTTAATGAAGAACAGGTTTTATTATTGATTTCATTTGTTTCTTTGCTAAATTAATAAAAAAAAAACGAAAATCTTTCTTTTTTAGACAAATGAAAAAGCATCAAAAATAGTTGATGAATTTCTCAAATGTGAAAATAATGATGGATTTATAAATAAACGACAACGTCTTTTAGAATTACATTATAAACTAAATAATTTACAAAAAATTTTACAAAAAACTTCTCCTTCTTCTGAGAATTTTGATATATCTGATGATAATGATGATGATGATGTTGATGATGATCATCATCATGATCATGATGATGAACAATATTAATTTCAATGTTTTTTTTTCATTTATCTTTCTTTTGTTTCGTTTTAGAAAAAAAAACAAAAAACGATGAGTTCATCATCGATATTATTAAATAATCTTCGTCAATTAATGAAATCAAAAAAGTATTATAATGAAGTAATTCATGCATATATTGTTCCAACAACTGATCCACATAGAGTTAAAGAAAATTTTTTTCCTTTTTATTAATATAAATATATTAATTGATTTAATTAGAATGAATATGTTGCTGATCGTTACAAACGACGAGAATTTATTTCAAATTTTACTGGATCAAATGGTTAATTTCTTTGAATTTATATAAACAAAAAAAAAACTAAACGAATAAAATTCTTATTTAAAACTAGGTACAGCTTTAATAACCGATAAGGAAGCTCTTTTATGGACTGATGGTCGATATTTTGCACAAGCTGAAAATCAATTAGATCCAACATGTTGGAAATTAATGCGTGATGGAACAAAAGATGTTCTTTCAATAACAAATTGGATTTCAAGAGTATTATAAATTGTTTTATTTTCTTCAATACACATATTAAACAAATATATTATTAAGAATTTAGAAAAAAATAGTTTTGTTGGATGTGATCCGGAATTAGTATCAATAAATGAATGGAAAGAATGGAAAGAAACACTTGAACAATCAGATAAACAGCTTGTACCCGTTCATGTTAATTTAATTGATATTTTATGGGATAATCAAAGACCAAATTTACCAGATAAACCTATTTGGAAACATGATATTCAATATTCTGGTTTGAATTTTGTTCTTAACATAGAGAGAGAGAGAGAGAGAGAGAGAGAGAAATAAATAATGAATTATTTGTTGTTTTTTAAAACTAGGTGCTTCAATAAGTGAAAAATTATCAAAAGTTCGTTCAAAAATGAGGGAATATAATGTTGATCATATAATAATACATAGAACAGATGATATTGCTTGTAAGTATTTACTTTTATTAAGAAATAAAAACGAAAGATAAACAAAAAAAATTTAAATTCTAAAAGGGTTATTCAATTTACGTGGTGGTGATATTCCATATAATCCTGTTTTTTTATCATATTCAATTGTTTCAATAGATTCTGTTAAGTTAGTTTATATTTGAATTAATAAATAAAAACGAAAAAAAACGTCTATTTTATTTAGATTATTTGTTGATTTAAATAAATTATCAAATTCAATAAAAAAAGATCTTGAAGATGATAATGTTAATCTATATCAATATGATTTATTTCATCAACAATTAAAAATCGATGTTCATTCAAAAGATTCATCAGATAAATATTGTGTAATTTTATTTTATTTTATTTTATTTTAAAATAATCATTCGATTGTTATTATTATTTATGTAGGCATCACCATCATGCAATTATGCTATACAAACAATTATACCTAAAGTTTTTATTTTTTTTTGTTCAACTTATTCTGATATTTACTTTTGTTTTTTTTATATTATTTTAAAGAAACAATTAGTTATACAAGATGATATTGTTTATGAATTGAAAGCTGTTAAAAATAATTGTGAAATTCAAGGAATGAAACAAGCTCATGTAAGTTTTATTTAACTTATCATTCTTCGATATTTATTATTAATAATTAAATTAAATTCTACTATTATTATATAATTATCAATAAAAATTCATTAATTAATATTATCTATAATAGATAATTCTTAAGATTATTTTCAATCGTTATATAAATAGTATAAATATAATATAATTAGTTGATTTTCATTATTTTTTTTTGTTTTGTTTTTCTTTCAATATATTATTTGAAAATGATTTAAATAAATAAATAAATAAATAAAGTTAGATTTATAATAGAATCTCTTCAATATTGAATTTAACTTTCAAATCATTTATATAAATAAGTATCGATTATTTTATTTATTTATTTAAATAAAAGGATTATTTTATTTAAATCATTTTCTATATATGCATATACGTGTATATACAAGATGATTTACCTATTTTTACTAGTTTTATTCAATTAGATGTATCTCTACAAGAGTTTCCAACTTCTTCATTTCTATATTATTATATATGTAGATCATTGATTAGTCTGTCCAATCGTATAGTTTTATTTTCATTTATTTTATATCTTGATGAAAAAAATCCGAAGATTTCTATAACTAGTTCAACAAAACTTTTGCAGAGACCTACTTCGTGAGGTAACTAGGATAGGGATAGATTGAGCTCCGTCCAACCACCGATGTCAACTTCGTCAGCTAAATTCTCCTATAATCTGTACCATCCTACAGACCTCATTCGTCTGAGCCCAATCACTAGAAATTTAAGCGACGCTAATCCCTACCATTGTCAAAATTCTAATTACGTCACTAGTCATCTACTTCACTTGGAGTCAATATAATTCACATGAAAATAGTTTTAGTTTGTAGAGATACATAAAACTTTTAAAATTTCATAAAGTATTCAAGAATAATATCAAACAAATAATAAACAAAATATATTTTTGTGTTTTTTTTCGTATAATAATAAATCATTTTATTGAAGATAGTTAACTATACGAATAAAATATATAATAATAATATATTATTAATAAAAACTCAATGTCGTTGATAATATATCTTGATTATTTTAAATAAATTACAAATTAATATTTATAATGATAATATATTATATTATCAAAACTATTATTAATATAATAAATAAAATACTCAAAATAAATATGATTATTAATAATATATATTGATCTTTGGTAGAATAATCGAATGTCAACGTTGAATATTGAATGATGATAGATGATTAGCTTTTTTAAATAATCAATTAATATTTTTAGATTTCGATTTCGATTTATTTTAATCATAAATAAATATTTTCATAAATCTAATCGTATTTTTATTTTGTTTTTCTTTAATTTTATCTTTGGAACGATAAAAAAAAAGAAAAAAAATAATATTAAAAATAGTTCGATTGATCTGTTAATAAAAAAAATTTGTTTAGATAAAAGATGGAGTTGCTCTTTGTTCATATCTTCATTGGCTTGAAGAAAATGTAAGTTTATTATTTTTTTGTTTTTTTTCTAATAATTATTTATTTAAATTAATTCTAGATTGAAATAAATCAAGATTTAACTGAATATTCAGTTGCAGAAAAATTAAGATCATTTCGATCGTTTGTTTAGAATATTTTTTTTGTTCAAAATAATTAAATCGAATTATTTTATTAGTGAACAAATTAATTATCTTTATGATAGTTTTGAAACAATATCTGCAAGTGGAAAAAATGGTGCAATTATTCATTATACGTAATAAATTTAAATTATTCTCATATTGAATAATAATTTTTGTTTATTTATCTTTTTAAATAAAAGAGCAAGTAAACAATCTGATAGAAAATTAACTCGAAATGAATTATATTTAATTGATTCTGGTGGACAATATAAGTTAATAACAAAAAAACACATATTTATAATAAAAAAAACACAATATTTATTTTAGAGAAGGAACGACAGATGTAACAAGAACAGTTCATTTTGGTCAACCAAACAATTTTGAAAAAGTTTTTTCTTGTTCGATTTCTATACGAATCGCTTTTTTTTGTTTTTCTTTTTGTTTATATTTTTATAAAAGGAATGTTTTACTCGTGTATTAAAAGGTTTTATATCATTAGCATCATGTTTATTTCCACCAAATACAACTGGAGCTCGACTTGATTCAATGGCACGTCGTGCACTTTGGGATGTTGGTTTAGATTATCGACATGGTACAGGACATGGTGTTGGTTGTTGTCTTAATGTTCATGAAGGTTGTTTTTTATTTTCAATATTTAATTAAACATAATATCAAATGTTAATTAAGGTCCACAATCTATTGGTACTCGAATACGTTCCGATAATTATTTAGTTCCAGGAATGGTTCTTAGTGATGGTTAGATTTTGTTTTACTTTTAAATTAATTCTTTACTAAAATAATATATTTTTTTTATTTTTTAATACAAAATAGAACCAGGTTTTTATTCTGATGATAAATTTGGTATTCGTATTGAAAATTGTGTTATTGTTATAAATAAAAGTTCGAAAGTTAGTTATTTACTTATTAATTAAATAAAAAAAATTAAAAAAACTTTGTTATAGTATGGATATTATAATGAAGAATGGTTAACATTTGAACAATTAACAATGGTTCCTATACAACGAAAATTAATTGATCGTTCATTATTAACTAATGATGAAGTTTGTATTTAGTTTTTTAATTTAAATAATAAAAAAATAAAAAATAATTTATTTATTGTTATTTGTTGTTTAAATTTAGATTGATTATATAAATAAATATCATGAAAAAGTTCGTGAAATAGTTGGAGATGAAATGAAAAAACAAAATGTTAAAAAAAGTTTATTAAAATGGCTTGAAATAAATACAGAACCAATATAAGATTGATTATTAATTAATTAATAACATGTTTGTTTGTTTTTTCTATCAATACAATTATTTATCATAATAAATAAAACGACTTTTTTTCTGTTCATTCCTTAAATATGTTTTCTTTTTGTAAACTGATCGATTTAATTTATTCTTTGGTTGAAATAAAAAAAAAAAAACATTTGAAAATATATTTTAGATAATCTATTATTATTATTATTCATTTATTAATCTCCTTATGTTTAATGATTAATATTGATTTAAAAAAAATAATTTATTTAATATTCAATTAGAAACATTCATTGAATTAAATTAAATTTAAATTAATTATTATTTATTAATTTTTAACAATATTTTCAATCGGCTGTTATTTTTGTTTTTCTTTCGTATTATCAATTAAGTTTCACTTTATTTTCTAAATCTTATTTGAAAATTTTATATTTAGAAAATAATTCTCTTTCTCTCTCTCTTTTTATAAATTAATATATTAAATATTCTTTAATAATCTGACATTTTATTATTAATAATATAGATTAAATATATATAATCGATAAAAATAAAGAAAAAATATTTTTTTGTCGAGATTTATTATTGATCAGAAGATAAATTAGACATTATTTATTAAATGACATTTAAATCATAGAAATAATTCTTATAATTAGATTAGCTTTTTATTAATCATTGAAACAATTTAATGTCTTTGTTAATATAATACTTTTCTATACTTTAATTATATAAATAAGTGTATGATTGTAGAGTAAGAAATATTCCAATATTATTATATTGAAAAATGATTTAATAATATATTTTATTTTATGCGAATATTGTTAACTAATCTATATAGAATCGTGTAATAAATATTTCTTTTTCTATTATAATGAATACATCATTATCTCCATATATATATCATTTAAATATTAATAACAAAAAATAGAAAAAGTTAAACTAAAATAGTTATGAAAGAAAATATCTGTCTGAAGTATAGAAGAGAGAATATAGAAAACAAAAAACAAAAAACAAGTCCAATATGAAAAATAAACTTGAACATCATTTATATCAATGATCAATGTAAATAAATTGTCTCTTAACCATGATTTAAATCATATTTATATATGTTCAAGTGAAAGATTAGTTTTTACGCATTGTATAGCAAGTCTTTTTTGAAGCTAAACTTGTTAAAAGCTAAACTATTATTTAAATAGAGTTTATTTTAAAAAAAATCTCTCCAATGAACTTAAACAATACTTGTTTATTATTATTTCTAATGATAATTCAATAAAAATACAATTATAGAGTAAGATAAATATTGAGGAATATTCAATGAGACTCGATATTTATGATTAGTTTAATAAGTTGAATAGTGAATTACTAAAGAGTCAAGTTAAATAAAAATATTATATTTTATTGTAATATTTAATAATATAATGAAGTTGATTATATAATATAAATATGATAATTATCTATTTTATTAAATTATAGTTTTATTTATTATTTAATAATTGCTAATTAATATAGATATATAAAAAAGAATTTGTTTATATAATAGATGAATAAATAATGTTAATTAAATGTTTAATAGAATTGGTATTATTCAAAATAGTTTGTTTAAATTAAAAATAAATTATCGAAAAATGTCAAGTAAAATAATTCGTATAGGTGTTTGTCAATTGAATTCAAATGATGATAAACAAGAGAATTTTAATATTGGACAACAATTGATTAATCAAGCAAAAAAAGAACAAGCAAAAGTTTGTTTTATATAAATGTTTCTTTATTTAAAATCTTAATTTATTTTTCTAATATATATATATATGTATATTGAATAGATTGTATTTTTTCCTGAAGCGTTTGATTATATATGTGAATCAAAACCATTAACACTTGAAAAAGCTGAACCAATTGATGGTCCAATTATAAATGGATATAGAGAATTAGCTAAACAAAATCAATTATGGATTTCGTTAGGTGGTTTTCATCAACGAGTTCGTGTTTTTTTTTATTTTTAACTTTAAAATAAATTTTTTTTGGAAAAAAAAACAAAGAAAATTTAATTTAAGTCAGGTGATGGAACTCGTGTATTAAACAGTCATTTAATAATAAATGATCAAGGTGATATTGTTGGTCATTATTCAAAAATACATTTATTTGATGTTCAAGCTGGTTCTTTAATTATTCGAGAATCAGATTTTACACAACCTGGTTCATCGATTTCGAATCCAATTGAAACACCAGCTGGAAGAATTGGACTTGGAATTGTATTATTTACATTGTTTTATTTTATTTTCTTTCATTTTCTTTTAATTTATTTTAATTTAGTGTTATGATCTTCGTTTTGTTGAATTTGCTCGATTATTAACAGCATCTTCTACAAATGGTGCACAAATTCTTACTTATCCCAGTGCTTTTACAAAACATACAGGTCAAGCTCATTGGGAGGTAACATAGTTTTTTTATCTTTTATATTCATCTGATTAAATTCATTTTTACAAAGACTTTTCAACGAAAAAAAACAAGAGATAATATGTGATGATTTTCAATATTTATTTTCGAGTTTTTTCATAATGATAATCGGTGAATAGAATTAAACTTCTTATATAAGTCGAATATATTATTTTCAACATAATCGACGAAAATAAAATATATTCAATGTGTTTAGAATGTTTTTTCGTTGATTAAATATCAAGACACTAAAAAATGATATTTTCATAGAAAATAAACAAAATCAAAATCAATTTTAAATATTCTATTATAATCAAAACAATATATGTCAATATGAAATTTAAGATTTACGATAGTACACAGATAGAAATTTTCATATTTCTATCTGTTTACTAGTCTATAATCGAGTCTATTCATATCGTATTCCTATTAAAAATATATTATATAAGTTGATTATCCTATTTATTTTAACCTGTTAATCTCGATAGAATCTATAAAAACAAAAAGGTTCTATATAAAGAAAATAATTATTTATTAACAAGTCTATTATATTGTCAATAGTTAAATAAATATATTATAGAAATGAATTTATTCTATATTAAATCATTTATTCCATTAAATAGATATTAATTAAAATCAACTAATAGATAATCACTTTTTTCACTAAATATATAATTGGATAGATATAATGTTCTATCGTATCCTTATCTATATATTGATAAATGTTAGTCTAGAGGAGAATTACAGTAATATAGTATAGATTTTCATTATAAATGAAAGTATCGATGTGAAAATGTTTGGCCTCGATATATTAATATTGACACCGAACATTCGAAGGTATTCGACATGAAAAATGTTTCTGCTCATATTATTCTCGAGTAGCGGGAAAAAAAATCTAAAAATGGTCTCGATTGACATTGATCAATATTGAATAATATGTTATCGAAAATGGTCACTTATTAATAAATGAATTAACAAGAGTCCATTAAGAAAATATTGACCATAGTGACAAGTGACATCATTGATAAAATCTATTTCGAATTAAAATACAAACAGATATATAGATAAGTGTATTTATGATAAAATAGAATAGTGAGTATAGATATTTATTCAATAAATGATCATGTATTATCGATGTTAAAATCTAGTTGAATATGATAAATGTTTTATTTGATCTAAGAGGTTAATTTTATATTTAAAAATCATGTTTGATTTTCTCTTATTGTTAAGTCGATTGTTTTTTAAATTGACTAATTGAAATAATTCGATTTCGTATTAATTAATAATAATATAAAATGTTCTATAAATAATAATTTCTAATGATTGACTAATCTCGAATATTGATTATTTTTCTCATTAATTCTTAATATAATCGATAATTAATGTTAAAATAAATTTATTTAATCAGTTTATTTTGTGTGTACCTTAAATAATATTTATTAACATAATATATTCATTAAAATATATTAACGGTTGAATAACATCGTTTTCATATGTTTACTTGTTTAATTTTTCGATTGAATAAGTTTTTAAGAGTTATTTTCCTCAATTTTCACGTTGAATGCATAAAAACAATATTTTATTTTTGTTCCCATTTACCTATCTGCGCGGGGGCAGTTAATAAAATGTTTTTTTTGTTCGTGCTTAATGACATTCATATCTAATATAGGAAATTTAATTGTTATTTGTCTTTGGTATAGAAATGTCAATTAATTAAAATAAGTTTGTTAGATTTGATAGAATCATATTAATAAACTGATTGATAATATTTCAAATAATATTTATTAAAATGATTAGACTTATTCTAATAAATTCTAGTTACCTTTTTTTATTGATAAATGTTACCATAATATAACTGTAGGTATTCTAACTATATTTAGTAAATATGTGGTAATGTCCTTTGATGACATGTTAATATTCATTAATTGAAACAAGGAATAGTTTAATCTTCTAATATATTATTAAAGTAAAAAACTAAAAAGATAAAATCGTTAAAGTTTTATTGGTTGAAAGATGGTTTAGGACATTAATTATAGTATAAACTTGATCAAATAGTAAAGATTGTCTTTTAGGGAAAAAAAAGCGATATAGCTACATTAATAATCTAAAAGAGTCTTTACTTAATAAAGTAATAATAATATTGGATGATTTTTGTTTGATTTGAAATAATTCAATATATCAGTGTATTGTACTAATAAAGTGTTATGATAAATATAATCATTATAAATAATTGTCTAATGATATATATAATGATATTTCTAGTTGAGATTATTTATTATTCAATAATAATAGATGATTATATTGTCATTGTTTGCTATTTTGAAAAATAACAAAAGAAATATTTTAATATATATTTAAAAAACGTTTAATAAATGAATATTCTATTGAATTAAAGAAGGAAAATTTTCTCAATATGATCTATATCTATTCTCTTTTTAATTTGACATATTATTTCTAAGATATTTTCAAGTGAAAATAATCATCTACGATATAAATATGTTATTGTTTATTATTGTATTCTCGAATAAATTTATTTATTTAATATAATTGATAAAAGAATGTAAATAAATAAATGTTAAATATAGATTTTAGTTCGTGCTCGAGCAATTGAAAATCAATGTTTTGTTGTGGCTGCTGCTCAAGTTGGTTGTCATAATTCTAAACGTGAATCTTATGGACATTCATTGGTTTGTTATTCTATATATAATAATATTATTTATTTATAATTAAATAAATAGGTTGTTGATCCATGGGGAGAAGTTTTATTAGATATGAATTTAGATTATCCATCAATTCGTACAGTTGATATTGATCTTGATCGTATTGATAAAGTTAGAGAAAAAATGCCAATTATTCAACATCGTAGACATGATTTATATACATTAATGTCACCAACAGTTATTATTGGTTAGAAAAACTTATTTTTTATTCTTTTAGTTTTTCGAAAGATAAAAAAATTTTTTTGTTAGTGGGAATTGATGATAAAAGTGAAGAAAAAATTCGTTGGGGTCAAATAGAAATTACAACAAGTCAAATATTTTTTCGTTCAACATTAACAATGGGTTTAGTCAATAAAAAACCGGTTGTAGCTGGACGTTAGTTTTTATTTTTTTGAATAAAATATATATTATTTTTAAAACTAAAAACTAAATTGTTATTTAATTAAGATGTACTTTTATCACCAATTCGTTGTGTTGAACGATTTTGTCAATTAAATCCTGAAGAAATAAATGATTTATTTCAATGTACACAATTAATTGCAGGAAAAATCGAAGAATATTATCAAGCTAAATCCTTAAGTATTGCTATACAAGATGGAGAATATGCCGGACAAACTGTTAAAGTATTATTTATTTACTTTTATTATTTCAAATTTTTGATAACAAAAAAAAAACACCAACAATTAACTTTGATTGTTTTTTGTTAGCATGTTCATGTTCATATTCTACCACGAAAACCAGTTGATTTTGAAGAAAATGATACTATTTATCATGAGGTTATTTATTTATTTATTTAATTTATTTAATTTATTTGTTATCATTGTAGTTGGCTCATCATGATAAAAGAAAACAAGGATGGAGACAAGAAAAAGAAATGGCTGATGAAGCAAAAATTCTTCGAAAATTATTTTATCGAGATACATAGACAGTTAATTATCTTTCTCTTTATTTTATTCCCAAACATTTATCATCTTAATCAATATTAAAACACAACAAGAATATTTACTCTGTTTTATATTAAAATAAAACAAAAACGATATATTATATTTTAAAAATTCTATTTATCTAACATTAGTTTTTCTATTAAAAATAATCTATTCTTTATAAATATTTGAAAGAATAAATAATATAATTAATATTAACGAATAGATTCATTTTTAAATCTATAAATCATATTAACAGTATTATTATTTTCAAGAGTAAAGAGCAATCACTTTTTTTTTAAATTTATTCAAATAAATATTTATCCATTTCGAAAAGTTATTATCATTATAAAAGTTAATATTTATTCAAGATACGTTTATAACTCTCAAGTAAGAGGAAAATGAGAGTACTCTTCTTTTTTTTGTTTTGTTGTTCTAGTAATTGTTAAATATATTCTTCATCTTTCAACTATATTAGTATATTATTAGTTCAACAAGCATAAACAATTCGAAATATAATCATTATTACATTGTCAATTTATATTGAATAACAAATATTTTACACAAATATAAAAAATAAACTTTATCAATAAAATTTTATTATAATGAGCATTGATTTAATTGAAAAACTAATTAGTTGAGATTTATAAATATATTTCGACAAATTCAAAAGAATAAATAGTTTATTTAAATATTTATTATTAAATATTCTAGAATATAAATAGATAAATATCTATCCGAAATAGAAATAGAATATATCTACTCAATCAATAATAACAAGAAGAAAAGTGTTTTTTCTCATTATAATCATTGATAATCTTGAAAACAAGATGTAATTCATTGATAAATTGTTATTTGAAACGAAAATTTTCTTATTATTGAAAATCTCCTAACAAAGTCATTCGACAGAAATGAAATTAATTAGAAATAAATATTGTTTTTTTTTCCTCTAGATTAGTTTCAATAAAAAGAAAAAAAAACACAAGATGTTTTATATAGAATATATAATTCTATTCTTTGAAAATCCATATTCTATCTTCTTAATATATTTATTCGATAGATTATTTCGAAGATTCTATTCAATCAAGTATAAATTATTTTACTTGAGATTGATTATTAAAACTAAAACGAATATATTATTACTTTTATTTCATTTATTTATTTATTATATTATCATTATTGATTCAAATAAGAACTATTAACAATTAATTTACTTATTTATTCAGTTAAATATGTCCATATATATATATAGAGAGAGAGAGAGATTCATATAAAAGTTAAATTATTTTCTTTGAAATTTATCTTGTTAATATAATTGAGAAATGATCAATTGTTAATAATAACTGTTCGATAAACTTATATTTAATTAATTAAGATAAATGTGATAATAAATGTTAACTTAAAATATATATATTATGTTATATAGATTATTATTTTTGTTATTTGATGGAGTTTTTCTATAGACAGTTTAATTAAATATTAAAAATAATTTATTTATAAGTCTAACTTTATTTATTTATTATAAGATTGTTCGAAGATGATAATCAATATTAAAAATTCGATTAATATAGAAATAATAGATCAATATTTATGTTATTATCGTCTAAACAAATAAAAATGGTGATATTAATAGAATATATTTAAGGTTAATATTGACTTAGCCATTTAAATAAAGTTCTTAATTATAATGGGATTAGAAAATAAATTCAATTGTTAAAGATAATATTTATATTCATAGAGAAGATTATCAATTAAAATCGATCGTCGTCGTCATCATCATCATCATCATAATAATATTATTTGAAAATGTTCATTGTCGATTCAATGGTAGAAAAAAATAAAAAATTTCTATTTGAAATACCGAAATTGTAAAAGTCCTTTGTTTAATTTGCTAGAAGCGTTAAAAAATCTCTGTAGTCTATGAGAGATTTTGTCACTTAACCTTTTTCTTCGATTTTATTTAATGATAATAGATAATATATGTTTATAACGCATATCAGTCGTAAAGTCACTTTCCTAATAAGCTTTTTTTTTATTATTTTTTCTTCTATAAAAAATCAACACAATATACAAGTAGTATCCCTAGTTGACTTTCCCTAAAGAAATCCCTGGGGAGTCCCGACAAATTTTGAAATCCCCCGGGAGTCCGTTACGTGAGTCCCACGGGAGTTCAAGTAGCATACGAGAAAACCTTCGGGAGTCCCTGAAGAGAGTTCAAGTAAAATATAAGAAAAATTTCGGAAGAAGTTCCTGGAAAATTCCTGAGGAGTCCCTGAAAAATCCCTAGGAACTCATCTGGGAATCCCCAGGGATTTCTTTATGGAAAGTCAACTAGGGATTTAATGGATTAATGCTTAACTAATATGATAGTAAACTATGAAAATAAATTCGATGACAATCTTTAAATATTTGTTCTAAATGACACACTTATATATATATATATGATATGGATATAGAAGTCAATTAAATATATAGGATTTATCTTTTTGACATATTAATTCAATTTTATGAAGAAAAAAAAAAACACGAAAGTTATTTTTATTTTAAAATGAAATAATCTTAATAATAATGGTCGATATCATTACAAAGTATATGTGTACCTTAGTTGGAAAAAAAAAAGAAAGTTAACCTATATTCTAATGTCATGCTCTAGATTAAATATTAATAAATTAATTTAATATAAGTTGGGTGAGAATTGCTCAATAGGAAAAAAAAAGGTGACTGTTCGACCATCTATAGGACGTGACTTTCGAATGAAATAATTAATATTTAATATAAGCGACTATTTCAACATTTGACTCAATTTAAATTGATTAAACAAAAAGCGTTTTATTTAAATGACTATAGAGAATATTATCAATTTAAAATAATAACAAAAATAAATATTAGTTATCTAGATTTATTTCAATACCATCAACATAATTACTAATATGTCAAATCTATTAATATGATTCACTCGTTTTTGTTTTTGTTTTTCAGTTCTAAGATAAATAGTTAGAAAAATGTCAAATAAAACCAATATATTAAATTAATCAATTAATTATAATTATATTTGACAATATATATGGATTTGTCTGAATAATATTATTGTTAAAGGTTTTTTCATAAAGTGACAATCGATAGAAATATATTATATTGAATTATAGATAGATAGATAGATTTATTTCTATTTAATTTAATTATTTGATTATTATAATCAATGATAGATTTCTCTATTCACTTTTTTCTTTTAAATGACTTGAAAATCAAAGAATGATAGAATAAATATTAATGTTAAGATATGTCTATTTATTTATCGAAAAAACAAATTTGTTCATCAGAGAAAAAAAAACAAATTGATAAAATGGTGACTGGTTTTTATTTTATCATGATAATATATACTATTTGAATATAAACATATTTAAATAGTTAATCACTAATATAATAATTAATTAGTTGTATAAAATATATATATTTATCGAACGATTCTTATGATGATCAAGATAATAATTAAATTTTAAATTTTTTTTTTTTTTTTTTTTTTCTATATTTAATTAAGAATTTAAATGATTAAGTTTTAAAAAAAGATAAATATAGAAAATGAATTTCTTTCTGATATAATCAATATATATATTGTGTTGATAGATTCATTCAACCAATAAAAAGAAAAGGCTTTTATTAAACATATTCAAGTGGCGAAAAATAATTTTAAAAATAATGTTATAGAGTAGAATTAATATATTTCTATCTCTCGTTATATTTCATGGTTTTTTTTTCTTCATATAAACGTTGATTATTTCCTTGTTGTTGGTGTTTTTTAATGAAAGAACGATTCTTCTATAAGCTTAGTAAAAAAGTGAAAAAGAGAAAAAGATAAAATCTTGAATAGATATATTTTTAATAGATAATAATTTAAGTTGAAAATCCCCTTATATAAATACTATTTTAAAAAAAAATCATGCATTTTATATAAAAGATAAATCTTCATGAATATACTAATCGGATTATTCTTTGTAATGTGTTTACTATATTTGGAACGTTTATAAATAATATCTAGGCAAATCTAAAGAGAGAATAATCAATGTTGAATATATCTGTAAACAGTCAAAATAATAATTTATATATATCATTCGATCTTAAAAAACAAATAAGAAATTATTTTATTTATTATTTTACAATTATTTTTTATGATAATTTTCAAAGAAGTTAAGAATAATAATATAATCAATATAATTATCTATAGAAATTATTTCATAAAAAATCGATCAGTCAATATTGCTCATTTAAATTATTCTATATATAATATCATTTTAAAAGTTAATATATTTAATAACTAAACAGTTGAAATAAAAGACTATTTATTTATATTGACATCATTTATCGATAATTCATCTTATCTTATGACATATTTTAAAATAAAACTCAATTGATATAATCACTTATATTCACAAATATATGTATATTAACTTAATCTCTACATCATCTTTTTAAATAATTGAATAGTTATTAAATAAAAAGATAATTATTTTTCTTAATTTAAATCTAACTTAATATCTAATTATATATATATTAGTAATAGAAATGTATTTCGATACGTTTGACTATAAATATTTATTTAAAATGTAAGACAATATGAAAAATAAAAGTCATTGAGTACAATATGAGAAATATTTAAATTAAACAACTGAACTTTGTTTTAGTAATATTTATTGCGTAGGATTGTTTTTTTTTTTCTTTCTTTTTAAATTAGTTAAACTAGCGTGAAAATTAAATTTCTCTTTAATGATCTGTAAAAATCTTAAGAAAACTAAACTAAACGAAACGAAAAAAAAGAAAAAGAAAAAGAAAAAGAAATAATCTCTTAAATATTTATTTAATTGAATAAATAACCGTGTAATATAAGGATAAAAAGTGTTGATAGACACAATATAATGTGTTACCTAAAAGTGTTAAGGACAATAAAGTGTCATTTCAGCAACAGTACATAATGTTTGACAACAAGCTTCAGTTAACAATTTTCGTCTTAAGAATCTCCGAAAACGATTTGAATTGAGATTTTTATGTTTTTGTTGCGTGACAACTTCACAAGCAATACTGACCATTTGTAAAAGATAAGTTCCACATGCATGATAAGCTCGATGAAGAGTACAATTTTCCATTTTATAAAGTTTACCATTTTTTTCAACACTTTCTCCTTCTTTTAATAAACGTCCTTCATGTTCCTTAGTGCAATTGGAATTAACATTATTTGATATTGTTAGACTTGAGACATTTTGATTAAATATAACCAATATAGATAATATTAATACTGGAAATAACATTACCATTTAAATCAATTAAATTAACTCAAACAATTGATTATATTAACTAAAAAAAACAAACAAACAATAAATAAATATAATTAACTATTTATATAGAAATAATACAAAAAACAAAAAAAAAACAGAAAAGAAAGATTTATTTAAGAAAACTAAATAATAATAATAAATTGGATTGAATAGTAAAGATCGTCATTGATAAAAATCTTAGTCGTTTATTTTAAATCAATGACGTCAAACTGAAACAAAATGTCTATTTACATTTATATGTTAAAATAAAACTATGAATTTAACAAATGAGTTATAAATGAATTTTCTTTTTTTTTTTTTAAAGTAAGAATAGTTTTTACTTATAAACATTTTCATTATTATTATTATATGGAAATGAAGAAAAGTAAAAATAATTTCTCTCTCTTGGGCATTTTATTACTTTTTTTTATGTTGTTTTTTTTTTCCTTTATAAAAGTAATTATCTACTGTTAACTAAGATAATTATTATTTAATTATTGTCTGTCAATATAATTAACATAATATATTAGATTTCATTTCAATTTCTTTTCCTAAATATAAACAGACAAATACATATCAATTAACATTTAACATAAAACTTTGTTTTTTTTTTACTTTTCGTTTTATTTTCTTTAATAAAAATCTTTCATTTTTTTTCTTTCTATTAAAATTAACTAGTTTTATTTGAATTTTTTTCTCGAAGAAAAAAAAAAGCAAAATTGAAAAATTCAATCATAAAGGGTAAATCAATTGTGATATTCTATCGAAATCATTCATTTATAGAAAATCAATTTGAGACACTTTAGTTTAATTATCTCGAAAAAAGTTTAACAAATACAATATTCGCTCAAATCCTATTTGATGTCGATAATTACATTCGATTTATCATATGAAAATGAGATTTTATTTATTTATTGGTTTTTTGACTCAAATATCATACTACTATGAACGTTTTATCATTATGTAACAGAGTTACATAAATAAATCCTTTATATTCAGTGCTATCAATAAAAGTTGAATTTCTTGTCAAAATCTTTCACCAAATGGAATATTTCTAGATTCTACACCATCGAACAGACTTTTACACAATAAAAACATCTTTAAACTAAACTATTTTAGCTTAGATAAAAAATGCAAAAACAAAAACAAACATAACACTATTACAAAAGTTTTTGTCAAAGAATTCCAAATCAGTTAACGTGCTCAGATATATATATATATCATTATTGTAAACATTCGTTTTTTCTCTTTATCTAATTATTCTATAGAATAGTGAACTTGATAAATCAATATATGAACTTATTAACTTAAACAGAAGTTAGAAACTGTACAAGAATTTTTGCAAAACAAAAAAGCTTTTCATGATGAAACTGAAAATCAAATTGTTTGAAAAGTTTAAAATTGGTTTATCGATTCCAAAATCGAACTAATTTAAATAACATATATCATTTTGTTAATTAGAGTGAATAAACTGTTCTTTAGAATTTTATTATCAAAAATTACCAATTAATTATAACCGTTGTTTATATTTGATAATAAATGAGATATTTACAATAACTCGATTCTTATTTGAATCACACTTTTTTATTTGAAATAATTTCATATGTAAATGAATTTTTCAACTTTTATTTATGATTGAATTCTAATCGACTAATAAATCGTTATTAAAAACTCGAAATATTTCAATATAGATTTATTACTTATCTATAACAAACGGACAAAATTTTTTTGTTTTTCTTCAAAGATTTAATCTGAGTAAAAAAAACTAAAAATGCGAATATAATCTCGTTTATGTATCATAGATATATTTGTCTGTAAATAAATAAAATAAATTTATTTCGTGAGAATAAATCTAACTTGATCAACACTATCAAAACATTAATCGATTTATGTATAGGAAATTATTAAATAGATCTAAACTTTTATTTTCCTTTAAAATATATTAAATATTAACTAAATTTGTTAATTGAAATAGATCATTCGTATATAACCTCACCCAGAATAAAAGGCACATCGCTACTTTTTCGATACCCTTCTATTGGGGGTCAAGTTTTGGACAGTTTTTAATTAATAACTTTAATTATTGTTTTTTAGGTGTTTTTTGCTGAAAAAACTACTATTTTTTGTTAAAACTGTGCTATTTATGATAGGAAAGGAAGGATTTTGAAAAAAAACATTAGAAAATCGGTTAGATTTCCTTAATTATTAATTAATATTTATGAAAATGTCGATAATTTAGGAATATATTAATTTAAATTGTTTATTTCGATTTATTTAATTCAAGAAAAATAAAAGAATCGAAGCAAATAATCAATTTTAGTTTAACTTGAAACAAAAAACACAAATATATAACTTCATTTGTTTTTATTTCTATAGAGAAAATTCTCTAAAAAATAATAGAAAAAAAAAAGTGTATTGATAGTTTTAATTGTATATATAATATATATTATTAAAAATCCATATAAAAAGTGTCATTTTAATAAATATTGTCAATATAAAGACTATTTCGAATATATTTCTAAGATAAGATAATATTTATAATGTATATATTAAATAGATCTATCAACAATAAAGTCTTTATTGAAAGATCTTGTTTTTGTTTTCTTATTGTATTTATTGAATAAATCATATTAAATAATATATTAATCAGAATGAAAGAATTTTTTTCAATGATTAATTATTATTTTCTTAGATAAATCATCGAATTTAAAGTTATTTATTTGAATTAATTTGAATATTTCAAATAGAAAATAAAATAATTGAATTTATTCGACCGACTATAAAGAAGAAAATATTTTTTAAAATAAATATTTTATTAATTAGTTATATATTCTCTATTCAATCGAGATTATCAATAAAATAATAATTATTTTCTATTATTAAGATAATATACATCTAACATCTATATTATTTAATAGTCAATAATATTTTATCACTTTTTTTATATATTATTTAACTGATTATTTAAATCAAATATATTCGAATGTAGATTGTCAAACTTTCATTTTCTATTTAATTCTTTAGTCTGTATTCAATTACATTAAATATAATATGTCAAGAAGGAACGAAAAAAAACTTTTTCATTATTGTTTGTTCTATTGTTCAATAAAATATTCTTTGACTGATCAATATCAATAATATTATTGAGGTAAAATAAGGTAAATTCGATGCCATATTAGTTTCATAAACGAATTAAATGAACATAGATATATGAAAAAGTTAACATGCAAATAATGGTCAATTATTTTGTTGACAAAATTTCTAAATATTATCTTCAAACAGATTTAAACATTTCACTATGAAATTGACTAAGCATTTAGACATATTTGTGTTTGTTAATGACATTCACAACCGTTTTCAATTAAATTTAATCATCTTTTGTTGGTTGAATTTTTCTGAGAAAAAATAAAGATGCACGTTAAATTTCAATTTTTGATAGAATTTATTCGTCTAATTTTTCATTTCAAAATTAAATTTATTCTATCATTTATTTTATATCAATATATAAAACAAACAATACTATACATTTAAAATCGTCTACTTGCTTTATTCTTGATTTTCTATATCGTACTAATCAGGAGCGTAAGTAGGGGGAGGGGGCGCGTGGGGCGTTACGCCCCCCTGCTTTTGAAATTCTCTATGGCAACGTCCCCCTGGTTTGAAAAATTGCTTATGTAGTACGCCCCCCTCTCACAATACTTGAAAGTTTTCGTTATTTTCACTAGTAAAAAGGGCGAAAACAAACATGAAGTAGAAGCTTACTAACTCTTTGGCAAAAAGTGCTGAATTAAATAAGTTTATATCAAACAAGATATAAAGTGAAAAAAAAAAATTTTCGCTTCGCGAAAAGTGAGAACTTTACAATTACAATTGACCTAAGAAGTGTGATATATCATTTAAACATTTTCTTATAGTACTTTTTATGCATAAGAGGTTTATTTTTTAAATGGTCACAAGCGCGGCTGCCTTCGGCGGCAAAAAACTTTTAAACAAATATCAATGGTTTCATTCAACGACCATTTAGGTTTTGGAACGCAACAACACTGAAATAGAATTTAGACCTGCCGACAAAGCAATTTCGTTTGCATAAATGGTATCAATTTCATATGCCTAACTATATTTTGAAGGCTTAAAACCTATTTCGAGGAGGTTTCTATTAATGCTGCGTTCTATAAAGTATCATTTTCATCAATAGTCGCTGACATAAACGCCTTCGGCGTTAGACACGTTTAGAGACGCTTTTGACTCCATACGATAACAGTTTTCTTCCTCAAAATAAAGGAAGGTAGAAAAACCAAATATTTTTCATATTATAAGATGTTTCTACGTTAAAAGTATTTTTGTAAGACAATGAGCAAAAGAAGATTACAGTGCTGAAAAAGATTTAGATGGGTCTCTCAATCTGGATTACCTCGGAACAACCGTGTATCCCTTTTGTACTCAGCCATTTTTCTGTCATTAAATCTTTGTGTGCGTCTCTCTTCTTTTTAATCCATGCTTCTTTTCTGATGTAGTGTTTCCCATGTAAAAAATTTGGTTTAAGAATCAGGTTAAAAATTGATTATAATGGCACTATTATAACCTGATTCAAATCAGATTTTTCAGCTTTAAATGACAAATTTTATTTGATTTTGATTTGTTTTAAAGCTATTATTATAGTCATTGTTGGTAATCGATTACAATCGATAGAAAAAATGAAAATAAAATAAAATTTGTCATTTAAAACTGAAAAATCTGATTAAAATCAGGTTATAATAGTCCCATTATAATCGACTTTGAATCTGATTCTCAGTCCAAATTTTTTACATTGGTTCCTGAACTGCATTGTCTACACAAAAAACACATAGCAAACAACTAGAAATCCATTTTTTTTGACACGCACTATCTCAGTCAAAAATGTTTTTAATCTCTTCCAAAAAAAATAATTCAAAGGACTACGCCTCCCCTGCCTTCAGTGGTGACTTACGCCCCTGGTACTAATATAGACTTCATTTTGATCGACTTTATCGAAAACATTCAATTTATTTTCAATATGATCATATAGAATGTTAAAAGTCATTTAATTTTCGTAATAAAATATGAGAAATCAAAGTATGATTAATATGTCCAAATAATAATAACAATGTTATTCAAAACACATTGTTTTATTCGATTTATACAGTGTGTCCCAAAAGTAAGGAAACAAAAAGAATATGCTATGATAATCGATAATAAATTGTTAATGATATTTTTCATATCTTGTATGTCTGAAAGTTTCAGCTTTCCACATCAATAAAAAGTATGAAAAATATCATTAATAATCTATTATCGATTATCATAGCATACCCTTTTTGCTTCCTTACTTTTGGGACATCCTGTACAACAAAGTCGTCACTCTTATAAGGCAATAGACTACTACTATTCTATATCAATGTAATGACATATGAAACGAAATGTTCAAAGTGAATGAAAATGAAATATATCATATTTGAGAATGTAGATAGCAAACTTCACCTATCACGTAGAGACTATCACAGGGCATTTTTTTACGTCCTGCCATAAGAGCAGAGCAGAGCACGAATACTATATTGAGTTTTCTTATTAAAAAATCTAAAAACTAGATAAAAATGATGTAGTTACTTTCAAATTTAGTATTAAAATTTTATTGATGTAGATTCGAAAAAATGTCAACATCAAATCAAGTTGACAATGAAAAAAATTGCGTACTAGAGAATAATAACCGTATTAAAACTTATAAACAAATTTAATCGTAATGAACTTTTTTATGTTTGAAACTTGATTAAAGTGTTTCTATTATTATAAGATTATTCAATATTTAACCATGTTTTATTCACGATGTGTGTGAAACGCATTTTTCTGAATTTTATATTTGAAAACTTCAGTTTTATTGTTGTTGTTGTAAACTCCTCATCCTCCGTATATTGATAAGTGTAACACTAGACCAACCTTTGATAGACATCATAGTTCGAAGTGCGATAGTGATTAGTACTAAATCGTGTAAATCAAAATACCAATAAATTAAACTTCTCAACCTTTTTGTTTCACTTAGGAGTGTTTAGTTATTTTTACTTTTCTTTTATAATAAAGGATAAATAAAAATAAAAAAATAAAGAAATTCTTGATATTTGAAAAATAAATATTTATTATTAAAAACAAAAAGAAAAGAAAACTAAAGATATATCTATCTTTATTTAATAAATATAACGATTTTATTTAACTTTAGTTTTTAACAATAAAAATTTACTTATCTATTTATATTTATTTTATACAGAGAACATACTGATACTTCTAGATCAGCGGAATAATAAGTCAATAGGCTTCTATTTTTGAAAATTCACACTTATTTTTCAAAAACGATTTTCTATTGCGAGCGTGTTTTTTCATAGCATTTACCTAAAAAAATAAAGAAAAAAGAATGTTTTTTTATTAAAAACCTATGTTTTAAGATGGTAAACTTTGCAAATTCTCAGAATAACTGAAAAACATTTAGAAAAATCCATGGTCTGCTATTACGCATTGTGAAATATTTCTTGTGAATAACCTTCTTATATACGATGTCTTTCTATTATTGGAAGAAAGAATTTAAATTAAAATCGACTATTTCTAATTTAAACTTATTCAAATTGAATCTTCAGATTGAAAAGAAACTTTTCATTTGATTTTCTTAGGAAAACTTTTTTTCATATTCATAAACTTCTTGTTATTTTTTATCAGGAAAATAATATTATATGGATATATGTTAAGATATGCAGAAAAAAAAACAAATTTGACTATAGTTCGTGTTAATTTCGTGTTGTAGATAAAGTTTAATCAATTAAATATTGCTTTATTTTTTGTAAATTAGTTTTACTCGACCAAAACGAATTAAACTGAAAATGGATCAAAATAGTATCAGTGTTGTTATCGATTTTTAATCGAAAAAAATCGATTAGAATTATATTTTTCAAAAATTCTTTTTTTATCATAGCACTGGCTTAAATTTTTTTTCCCTTTTCATTGATTAAATCTTATAAAATATTTCAATAGAATAACAAATCAATATGAATCTATATGCTATTTTGATTATTTTATTTAGAAATCTCTTAAAAAATAAATGATAAAAATTTCATTTATCTGTTAAACATATTTCTTTCTATAATAAAATACTTTCATACAAACAATAAGTATATTTATATTATATATATAAAATACTTGTTTGAATAACTTTTTATCAATAATAATATTTAAAAAAAGAAAAAATTTCATATGCCACGGGCAGGAATCGAACCTGCGTTATCCGGACCACAACCGGATGTACTACCATTATACTACCGCGGCGTCTATATTTTAATTTAAATTCTAAGTTATTGTTCATTTCTAATTGAAATGAAGAACAAAGAAAAAAAACCACAACGAATCTTACATTTATTATTTTATGTTCAAACACTGTTTTTTTTGAATCAATTTTTTTCAATGAAGAGATTTTTATTCTTTTAATCTATTTATTTTTCGAATCAGCAACAATAAGGAAAAAGAAAGCAAAGAAAAATACTGACAAATAATATAAATATAAGGTTAGTAAGGAATCAATACACACACACACACACACACAAAGAAAAGTGAGAGAGAGAGAGATAAATAATGGAATGTAAGGATCTTTTTTTTTTTTTTTGGTTTTTTTTATTTAAAAAGTTAGTTAAATAATGAAAGAAAGATTGAAATAAAACGTCTAGTATATATATATATATATCACTGTTCAGCTAATGAAAATCGAGATGAGATTTATCTTTATGAATAAATAAATAATTAATTAATCCATTTTAATATTAACATAAATATAACGAATAAAACGAAGTGAAGAGAAAAAGCCAACAGTACCAAGCATTAAAAAGAAAACATAACAAGCTATTGATGTATAACCAAAAAATTGTAATGTTTGTAATGTACCACGCATTTTTGAACGATTAAAATAAAAGAAAACAGCATAGAAAAAGACAAATAAACCAGTTGATCTAAATTAATTTATTTTATTTTATTAAAATAGAAAGAGAAAGAAAATAAAATACCCTGATGTTATTATTGATTGCCACCACCATCGATAATCTTCAGCAGCTAATTGAAAATAAGTTAATGCTATTGATATACATGCTGTTACACTAAGAAGTATTATAAAAACAATAGTTAAAATTCCATATAACATATATTGTTCACGTCCCCAAAATGTTGAAAAAATATAATATAATTCAACACTTATTGCTGAAAATGGTAAAAATCCTCCGACCAACATTCGAACAAAACTTGTACGATACCATGCTACTTGAGGAATTTCACGTGATATATTTTTTGTTCGACATGGAGCATCAAAATTACTTGTCCAATTTTTACCAAATATTCCACCTAAAACTGTTAAAGGAAATCCAACTAAAAATAAAAAATAAACAATTTAAAAGTTAATTAATATATATTATTTTAAAATAAATGTTACCAAAAAGCCACATAAAAGCAAGAATAAGTACAGTTGTATATGGTAATGCTTGTGTTGTTCCATGTGCCCATGCAAATGTATTTATAATTGACCATATTATAAAAAAAGGAATTGTAAATAAATTCGCTGTTAATATTATATTCCATGTCCAATGTTCACCTTGTAATTGTCTATACATTCTTCCACTCATATAACCAGCAATACATGATGTAAATGCATATAAAATAACAGCTGATGCCATTAATGAACCATGACGATGTACAGTAAACATTCCACAAACAGCAAATAAAAGTATACCAGTAAATATTGATAGAAATTGACAACCAACACCAATAATTGAACTAAATAATTCACGATTATTTGGAAAACGAAATACATCTGTATGAATGATTTTCCATCCATTTTCTTCTTCAGGTGAACCATCATCATCATCATCAGACATTCGATTTAAATCATGTTTTAATATACGAGACTAAATAATCATATTTTATTTATTATTTTAACAATAAATTTATTTCTATATTATTTTTTATCAATTAATATTATATATTAAATAATTAGTCACACTCTATTTATCATATTTAATCAATCTTAATTTCAATTCAAAAACTCAACAAAAATATTTTCGATATTTTGATAAATCTTAATTTGAACAATTTTTATCTATATTTACAATTCTAACTCAAGAAATCTACAACACCAATAATACTTTTAGAAAAAACAAAAACTATTGAAATTTTTGTTTTCACTTTCATTTGAGAAGATACACTTACAAGAATAATAACGACAAAACCCATTAAAAGAAAGACAAGTACCATGGAATTAATAACAGATAACCAATGAATCTAAATTATAAAATTATTTAACATTTTAAATCAATAAAAAAAAAACAAACTTCAAGTGTTTCAGGAAAAAATCCTGTATTAGCTATATATTTTGCACGATCTTTATAGCTTGTTCTAGAATAAAGATAATTGTTTAAATAAAAAAGAATATATATTTATTTATTTAAAAATAATTTAATACTCTGTACGATGCCATTTAGCTGAATAGGTAAATTCAAGTGTAAGAGATCTTACTGAATCATCATCTAATGATGTTGGTGCATGATCTTTTGTACTTATATTAACATATATTATCTAAATATAATAAGATTATTTTTATTTAATTAATAATTAATTATTTACTTGATTATTATTAATATGAAAATCAAAATGATGATGAGTATAAACATAAATATGATGTTTATGTGGAAATAAATTTGTTTCTTCTATTTGTCCAACAAAACCTCGAAGTGGAATATCATCAACAACAAATTCAAAATAATAAAATTCTTCAATTGATAATCGTAATGCATTTATTTCCTCATAACTTAATGTTAATGAGCATAATTGTTTATTACTTATTTCCTCTAAAGAAAAAAACACATAAACAAATTATGTCCAAATAAAATAAATATTTTATTTAATATAAACCATTAAATTTTATTTCATATAGAGATTGAGCCATTCGATCACCCGAAAGAACTTCACCAAGTGTTAAATCTTTTGATACAATCTATTTAGATTTATTTCAACAAACAAATAAAGAATTATTTATTTATTTATTTATTTTACTTTCGATGGACGACACACAGGAAGTGAATAATAATGATAAGTTTCTTGAGGATTAGAATAAGGACCAACTTTATTAACATAAACTATCACCTATTTAAATAAACCATACGGATAAAATAATTATCAAAGATTTTTTTTTTTTTGTTTTTTAATTCTTACATTATCTTTGTCAGCATATTTCTTTTCATTTGCGTTGACAACAATCAACAAGCAAAGAAATCCGAAATAATTAGTAATTAAAGACAACATCTGCAACTAATAGAATAGGATTTTATTTTTTTTAACAATACAAACTTTACACAAAAAAAGAGTACCTCTCTTTCAACAATGATTTAAGGTACAATAAAAAGAAAAAAAGCCACGTGTTTACATGCTCGATCGACTACTTCACTAAGACGTAGTCTATAATCATACACACTCTATGTTGTAATCATTATGAATGCTATTGCGACCTCTAATATTAGTTGACAACATAAATATGACCATTCAGAGAATTTAATAAAGACTTAATATTTACTAATCAACAATAGTATTATTATTTATTTCAAACAACTTTATTAAATTCAATTATAGGTAATAAGCGAGTTAATCTTACTATTGACAACAATATAATGATGAAGATGGCGCTAAGTAACAGACTTGCACTAAGATTTCTAATCAATATGAAACTACAATAAAACCACAACATATTATAACTGATCAATACCAAGCGAAAATACTTTTTCAGTTGCAAAATCAGAAAGACATTGAAATGCCTGTGAAAACAATGAAAAAATCAACAAATTAGATTCACAATCCACGACCCCTATCTCATGACAGTCTTCTATCATTCATATTAAACTTGATACCGACTAAAATTCTTCACTTAGCCAGCGAACAACTGTAGTTCGTTTCATAAGTCTATTAACAAAATACTTATTTTCAACGAAATAGTATTGTTGAGCACATTTCTGACAATGATGTACATATGTGAAACTCATAGAACTCGTGAAGTTTCTATTCGTAGAAACTTTTATATTAGTTTGTCATATTTTGTCTACATTAATAATAAAAATGATGGAAAAATTCTTCTAAAGCTTTGATCTCATAACTCACAATAAGTGATATTGAACAGCATATATGATTTACTTTGTCTCGTTTCCTTCCATAAAGATCTTTTCTTTTTTCAAATCCTAATAGACATCTTTATTAGTCTATATGGTTATTATCTCAGATAGGAAGACAAAATAAGTTACAACGTTCGATTCCAACATTGGACTTGACATTTTTTGTTTTATTAATATCTGGATACATTCAGTCGCACAAGGCTAAAAGTTACTCTAACTTTCACTACAAAATGAAAATTTTTCTTATATTTTCTAATTAAAGTTTAACTTGAAAATGATTGGTCATTAGAATGAGCTTGAAAACTCGAAGTGAACAATGATTATTTTAGATTAAATTTACTTATTAATAGTTAGCTAATTTTTCATGATCATAACCAATCCATTCATGAACTATTCGACACTCTCATTATATGATAAGCAAGCATAATCTCACATTATAAAACTTAGATTTTGATGGCAACTAAAAATTAGTCCATTGATATCTGATGCACAGTTATGATATAGTCTGGAAGTACAGGAAGTACGGCATTTTCGCTCCTTCCCCCTTGAAAATAACACGATTGAACTACAAATGACATTCTTGAGTAATGCTTCTAGTTCGCCACTGAAATAAACCGTGTAAAAGCTAGACCAGCTTTCAGGCTAGATTATCAATTTTTGGTCTTGATACCACTAATGTTTCAAAAATATTCTTGATGTTGAAGAAAAGAAAGGACAAGTATCGATAAGGCCATTTTTTCGCCCAAAAAATTTTTGAAAAAGAATTACATATTCGGAATCAGCATTAAATTCTGAGTAAAATCATGTATTTTTTTGTCGAAAACCGACTTTAATTTTTTACCTGTAGTTTTACATCTGTAGGGGACCCCAGGACCCTCGAAAATTTTTTTTTTCAAAATCTTTTGATTTCTACATCATCAGATGCGGAATTTGATGCTGATTCTGAATTTCTGATCAAAATTCGAAAAGTATAAAGTTTTCATCGAGAAAAACCAATATGACTGCAGGATGCTAATAGAAGGCTGTTCCTGGTTGCCGACGTTAGGGAACCTAACAACGACATTCTAAAGTCTAAAATGCGGGTGTGGGTGTGTGGGATGTAAGTTAAGAAAAGATTCACACCCACACCCACACCCACACCCACACCCACACCCCACACCCACACCCACACCGACACCCACACCCAGACCCCACACCCCACACCCACACCGACACCCACACCCACACCCAGACCCCAGACCCCACACCCACACCCCACGCCCACACCGACACCCAGACCCCACACCCCACACCCACACCGACACCCACACCCCACACCCACACCCCAACCAATCGAGAGGTACCAATGCAACCAAACACAAAAAAAAACATCCACTGACAGTTTATACAATACAGTCCGTATAAAAAACACTTGACATTTGACTAACCCCAACGAACCCCACCTCGACAACATAGAGTTTCGATAAACATTCGAAATAATCTACCAGATTAGGTTATCGTGCTAACTTATACACACCCACTCTATTGGACGTGTATTCTACTTTCAACTAAGTAAAACTTTGAGGTGTCATGTTTTGGTTCAAAAAATCTTTGAATCATTTCAACTCATACTAAGGCCACTTGATAAGAATTTGAGTTAGTAACATCGAAATAATCTTTGCAATAGGTTATCGTGGTAACTTATACACACCCACACCCACACTCACACCCACCCACACCCACACTCACACTCACACCCCACCCTTAATTTATATTAAGTAAGTTCAGACTTGCATGTAATTATGAAGTTCTAAACATACCTGTCGAGTCCCTTAACCAGGGGCAAAACGCGTCGTGTGATGCTTTGAATTTCAAGTCTTTGAGTTCTAATT